AGAACACACAGAATTTTTTTAATGTTTTGAATCCATCTTGGCTTTGCTAGTTACTAGGATTATGTCCCTTCAACTGATGCATCTTTCGGTACTTGAAAGTAAATGAAAGACTGGGTGGGCTGGGGCAAGACATGCTAATGGTATGCAAGTATTTAACGCTTTTTAGCTGTTTGTCAGGTGGCAGCTGGAACTAATGAAAGCCAGTATCATTTGAACAGGTAATACTTTGCAGGCCCCTGGTAAAATGCGTTCTCTGCATTTGAGAATGATGAAAGCTTGAGATGTACAAATGTGTATCTATTACAGTGGCCTATCCGATTACAAGTGTTTGGTTTTGTCCAACTCGGTTCATTTAGAACGGTGATTTTCAACCAGGGTGTTGCATGATCCTTTTGAAGGGTGTCCTGGGGTGTGAGGAGATAGGGCTGAGCATGTGCTACCTGCTTGTTCCCACCTGAACAATCCCATATCTCCACTACCTGGGGTGAAATAGGGCTTGCAAACCTATAATGTCACTCAGTCAAGCTGGAGTGGCTGAGGTAGAAACCCCACGTTGTTTGTTGCCCAGTAAGCAAAAGCTGCAGTAAAGGATAGGATGAAACTAGCAGCCTGTTTTGGGAGTAAATCTGTTCTCCTAAAGTGGACTGGATTTGGGCAAACCTGACATCAGGGGACTTCCCTAAAATTCTCTTAAGAATGGACCAGCCTTTCACTTGGTAATTTTTTTCCAGCAGGAGGGAGCATGGGGACTTTTCTCCTATTATTTAATTGACTCATTTCAAAGAGATGTGCAGTTGCTTCCATGGTGTCCCCAATATTAGTCCTGGTGTTATGTAGTTACAAAAAATCTCAAGAGATGGTCACTGACTGGATGAATGACAGGGAAGCCAGCCATGTGGGAGGCTGAGGCAGCACATCTCTCAGATTGGAAACCGGCTGGAAATTGGAGCTTTCCCACAGGAAATGGCATCCTCCTCCTCTGTGACCTTAGATGGGCAGAAGCTTGTCAAAAGCTGCCCTGCTGTCAAGGGAGCTCTGTCACAGAGAAGCAGACTTAAAATACAAGTAGAGTCAGCCTGGAGCTTCTGGATGGAAATGTTACTAAGTAGATCTCTATGCAGTAGAAAAGACTGAACCACATCGGTTTGCAGGGGCTGGACTGCTCTGTAGTCTCCTTTTTACTGTAGCAGGAAGACGACAGCATGGGTGCAAGCACTCTGTGAAGCTCCTTACACGTTGCCTGGTTTCCTCCACAACATGTGCTTTGGGGTGACCCAAAAAGGATTTTCTCACACAATCTCAGCTCAAACACAGTTCCATAGTCACAGTGCTTAGTTAACTAGCACAGAGGCCTGGAGGGCCATCCGGGGGCAGGCTGGCATGCAAGCACAGAGTTTCGGGTCAGGCAGTGCCCTGCTCAGACTTATTGAGCAGTGTCCCCCGATAGCAGCCGTGTGGTTTAGGGTGACCTGATAATGATTTTTCCCCATAATCCCATCCTAATCTCAGGTTTTTGTACTTGATACATAATACTGTTTTACATTTTAATTAGGAAATACACATTATTTACTACATCCTAAATCTTTACCTTGTGTAGTTCATTACTAACAACCTTTTTTGTGTAAGGATTGGCTTTGAGAAAGGAATCAGGAACCATCTTCAGTCTCATAGGCACTCCCACAGACACTGCACATCTTTGCTCTCCGCACCGAGTTTCTAGAAAGAGCCAGAGGTCTCTGGAAAGAGGAGAGGTCTTTCCAGTGCCATCCGGAGGGCAGAGTGCAGTTAGTGAGGCTAAACCCAGCCCCTCTGCAATACAGACTTCAGTCCTTTCCCTGCCAAAATAAAACTCGTTCAAAGAAATCCTTTCAACACACAGTATCAAAACAAGCAATACACATCACATAATTGTCATACTGTCACACAATAAGACATTTTCAGCTTTGAAGAACCAACACCATACTTTGAAACTACAACTTTTAGGCTACTCCAGTGTTTTACCGCTAGTCTTGTCATGCACTTCAATTTATGCTCATCATACCCTTCCTCCTTTAAATCTTTCCTACGCTGCCTAGTTTATGGCAGTGGGAAGCCCATAGATTCCTAGCCCCACATGCCTGGAAGGTGGGTCCCTGCCGCCCAAGTCTCCGGCACTGCAGATTCCAACGGCAGGCCTTTCCTTGCTGCCCTGGGGGAATGCTGCTGGACAGACCAATCATGGAGAACCCACAGCTGCTTTGATCCTCACCCCACACTTCTACCTCTGGCTTCAAAACCAGCTTTGGCGTGAGGCTACCTTAGCCTTTCCCTTCAGACAGTGCCAGACCAGGGTGGCCTTGCTCTTGCCTGAGCTGCCAGCTGCCAGACCCAGGCAAGTTAACACCCTATACAAAGCTCGTGCTCCACCTGGAGACCTATCGACTAGTCAAACTGTAATGAAACAACCCCCACAACAGCCTTCAGGCTCCCTCCACTCAAGACCTCTACCATTGCTACCACCATACACCACAAATAGCAGTGGTGCCTGGCCACTGCTCTACACCCCCTCTCCCCTAGAGCTCCATCTACAACTCTGATGAAGGTCTCTGCCTCTCACATTTCACAATTACACTGGGTTTCCCTGGCCCTCGGGCCACAGCTTGCCAGGGACTGAAGTCACACTCGCCCTCATGTGGGAGGGTGAGTGTGTTCACTTACCTGGCCATTGCATAGACCATGCCTCCACCCTGATAACTGCCCTACATTGTCACACTGCTTATACCCGTCAGATACACAGCTGCACATTAATATAGCTCATGCTAGCAAGAGGTCCCCTAGCCCCTCTCCTTCCCTCTGGAACAGTACACGTTGCAGTCACCACACCACCCGCCTACCTCTGTCCTGGACTCAGATATGTCCACCCCTGCCTAGCCCTGGCCGATTGCTCAAAGCTTTCCAATGGAATCAGAAGGCATGGGGGGCAGAGAGCAGAGCCCCTCTTCAGACTCCCAGACTCGCATGTCTCCTTACCCAGTGCAGGGGGAGCATGGGGTCCTGCAAGAACCAGGGGTTGGCCATGGCCACTTCACATCTCTCCACTCAATGGTTCCCAGTTACCTTCTCCCTCCTTGCCCTGTAGCCCCATCCAGCAGTGCTGGGCAATCCAGCCCCCTCACTGCAGCTGTCAAGCAGGGCAGGACTCAAGGAGCACCCTGCTGTGCCTAATGTACCGGACTGAACAGTCTTACTGGGCAGAGCACTGCACAAAAGCACCAAAGCCTAAACCCCTGAGCATTTTCCTCTAGCCCCTGCATGCTGTTGCTTTCCCTGTATCAATACATTAAACAACCTGAAGAGCAGGTCCATGGCAGGCACTTAAAACATCAGGCCTTTACCTCTGCTTTGGAGAGAAGTAAACATCTTCTCTGCAGCAGGCCCAGAAGTGTCAGCCCAAGCCTTTCATTCTCTGCAGAGAAGTGGAAGTCAGGGAGCGTGTCTGTGAGCAAGCAGCCACAAAAAGCTCAAGGCAGGACTTTAGAATATTTTCCTTTGGCACTTTGATTCAGTGATGGGACTTCCACCAGCTGCCAAGGACTGCATTAAAGCTCATCTCAGAGCTAGAGCAGCAGTGGTGACACCCTACCACCGTATCCTTGTATTCTGATCCTCAAGTTTAAAAAGGGCTCACTCCTAATTAGCTGGGACATATTTCACACCAAAATTCAGACAAATTCAGTTTCCAGCTCTTGAATCAAGTTAATCCTTTACCCCACAAACACCAAGAAAGTCACTGCTTTCAGGTGGCTTCTCCATATGCAGGTCCCTGTACCCAGTCACTGCTTAGCCTCCTCTGCTGAGCCCAGCAGGATCTAACACCAGTAGCTTGTTTCCTGGTCCCTGGATCTGTGGCCGTCCGTGCTTTACACCCTTTCTAGTACTCCCACATTCT